TATATATATATATATATATATATATATATATCTTTTTCTTAAGTTTTCGTGGGTACTTACATGAATGGTATTCAGCTTTGTTTGGGTATTTTCCCACGTCATTATAGTTGTGCTTTTAAAGTTGTAGCAACGTTTCGGCAGAATCTCATCTGCCATTATCAGGCTTCTGTATTGTGTTCGTCTGTGAGTCAGACTTTTACAGTTGTTTCAGTTTTAAATTTGGGGCTAGCCTACTGCTGTGCCAGAATGGTTTTTTCTTCATCCTGATTGGTGGAAACATTGCTACAACTTTAAAAGCAAATGCAGTAAAAAAGCTGGACTACACTTCCTCACTAGTCGAACACATGAAAGCCACAGGTCATAGCATCAACTTCAATGGCACCAAAACCCTAGCTACTATACAAAACCCCAGCCACAGAATTATCAGAGAAGCCATAGAGATTGAAAAAAGACTTGAAAGCATGAATAGAAGAGATGATTCCACCAGACTGTCAATCATTTGGAAGCCTGCACTCACAAACAAAAAAATCTCCACACCACTAGCCAGGCAAACACCTGGGCACAAACAGATCCCCCCTGATACCTCCAGCTCAAACACACCCCAACCAGGCACCCAGATGAAACCTAGCTTCCTAACAAATGATAGCCGTCCATTTACTCGGAGCCAAGCTGCACTAAAAGCCTCCAATACAGGAACACCAACGTGCCTACCGTCCCTGTCCTATTGTTTCTCTTATTCTTTTATTTTTCTTATATGTACCCATTCCATATATTCACAACTATGTATACACTTGTACTTATTATCTTGTAAACAATTGACAAATCAAATAAATAAAAAAATAAATAAATAAAAAACACAATGTTGCCAGCCAATCAAGACACAAAAAAGCCACAAAACAGACAGAAGATATTAGAAACACCAATCAAGCAGAACACAGCAAACTCCAAGACCAATAAACACAGACCAAGACTCCTAACCAATCAGGATGAAGAAAAAACCATTCTGGCACAGCAGTAGGCTAGCCCCAAATTTAAAACTGAAACAACTGTAAAAGTCTGACTCACAGATGAACACAATACAGAAGCCTGATGATGGCAGATGAGATTCTGCCGAAACGTTGCTACAACTTTAAAAGCACAACTATAATGACATGGGAAAATACCCGAACAAAGCTGAATACCATTGATATATATATATACACACACATATATATATACTATTTTAATAGATGATAAACAAAATAAAGTTTAAGACAAAGTTAAAATATGTTTATAAAACAATCTAACCAGCATGCATAAGATCCATGATGCACTCTATATCAAATTATAGTGTGCACACCAAAATTAGTGTCAATATGTTTCCCCCTTGTTTGAACAACACATGCATGTGCACATACACAGCCTTAAACTTCCAGCATAAAAATGTTTATATGCTTCTATGCACATTTTTACGAATGCCATAAACCACTGGAGATACCAATTGTGTTTGTTGAATATTAATGAATATAGTTTGTTTAAAATTATTTTCTTGTCTTCAGATTGCTAAAAATTTAGTAGCATGTTTCAGAAAGAAAGGCAGTCTTTAATTTCACAATTGTAATACATTGAAAACTTTGTAGAATGTCTAAATTCTTATTATTTTTAGTAAATATAATTCATATCGCTAGATCTATTACTCACTGCTTGACCACAGGTTGAATCTATTAATGGTAATGAACTAAATTTGTAAACCTAAAACAGGAATCCCCAAACCCCGGTCTGCAGCCCAGTACCAGTCTGCAGCCCATTGGGAACCAGGCTGCACAAGGAGCGGGCGAGCGCACGAAGGTCCATTTGTCTAAGGGCACATGTGTGAAATCAACACCTCTCCCCCTTGCAGATCCGCACAGCCAGAAAGGTTGGAGACCATTGACCTAAAACAGCTAAGGGAGTACAGGAGCCATCTTTCACTACCATTGAACTCTTCAAATCTATTGAAGACTAGACAGGCTACATGTGATTGGAGCTGAAGTTCAACCCATCTGGCAAATGCTCATTGGAGAAATCTCTCCTTAACCATTATGGAATAGGAATTGTTGAGGGGGATTCAGTAGTAAAACGGCAAAGATTGAATTACACATTCTCACCTCTGGTCCATGCTTCCTACTCTATAAGATTTAAAGCCCCTGTTGGACTATTTCTGTGGAATTTAACAACTTGAATTATTTTTCTGAAAACAAA